GTGCTGGCTGTCTCCTGAAGATAGAACTTTCCACATAGTTGCACGTGCAGCAGGAAAGGAAGAAGCTGCCTTTGGAAAAGGAGGAGGCCCAGCAGGCGAAGGAGGAGGCTCTGAAGGCGAGCGGTAAGGCAGGGGGGAGGCCGGGCCGGGCAAGTGCAGCAGCTGGTGCTGAGAGGGACAAGGCGACAAGACCGGGGTCCTGGGTCCAGCTCTCCCCTGGGCCAGAGCAGGTGCCTGAGGAGATCCCCGAGGACAGCTGGGGCTGTGGAGACTGGAGTGAGACTGGAGCTGGAACGTCTTGTAGGACAGCATAAAGCTCTGTGTTGGGAGTTCTCCAGGCTCAGTCTTTGTTTTTCTTAGGGATGGAAGTTCATGTCTCACTTCCTTCCTTGTTTCCTTCCTTTTTTTTTTTTTTGCCATAGGGTATTGTGCTCATCAAAGAGGGACAGAGAGAGAAACACACACACAAATAAGAACAGAGAGAAATCATCCCCAGAGGTGATAACCACACTGCAATTCCTTCTCCATTCTCCTTTCTGGATTTTGGGCATGCACATACATGTGCCTGGTGTATTTCTTGAGCTGCCAAATCTGGGACTCAAACTGCTCAGTCGTCCATGTGGGATCCAGCCACCTTCACCTCCACACCTGCTGGACCGGAAGTTCATCTTTCCTTTTCCCTCTCTCTCAGACGAACTCCAGGCCGCCCTCAGTAAGTCCTGCGTCCCCCCCGCCCTCCCCGTGTCCCCTTCTCAGCAGACGTTCTGATCCCAGCTCACCTTGTCCTGTGTGTTCCTTTCAGGGGAGAGGAAAGCAGCTTACCTGGCTGGTGAGTGACCCTCCAGGTGTCCTCGTTTCTCACCCACCTGTGCCCAGGTCCCCTGTCCTTGTTTCTGTCTGGGCTCAGCCGTGTGGTCCCCTGTCCCTCCACCCTGGGAGCAGAAGTGGAAACTGGTGGGGGTGAGACCCTGCTCCATGACTCTCCACATCTGGGCCGCTGCTCCTGCTTGGGGACCTGGGGGTGATGGTGACCCCTGACCTACTGTACACCCGGGTCTCCTCATCCCCACCTGACCTATCCACATATTCAGAATTTTCTAACCTTTAGTGCATCCAACTTCCAGTGTGTAGTTGGAAACTGAAAACCAGATGTTCTGATGATATTTCCTTAAATGAGCTGTGTAAATAAATGGGGTCATCCAGTTCAGGAGTGTGACTTCTCACCTCCTCTCCCCAAAACACCTTTCAGGGAGGGTCATCCCTCTTCCAGCTCCTGAAGGTGCTAATTAAAACGTGACAGGGTGAGGACTGGGTGCTGGCTGGGGTGGAGTGTGAGGGGCCAAGCTGACGCTCCCTGGAATAGTGACGCTCCTCTCTAGGACAGCTGGGAGAGAGCGGCCGCTTTACCCCAGAGCCTGCTTTACAGAATGTGAGTCATTCCCCCTTTTGAGTTATTTTCCAAATAGTTTTGCCAGGAAAAGACTGGTTGTAATAATGCTTTCTTCTATGTATGGAGAATTTGTGAGAGTTTGGGGAATATAATATATGTTTTATTCCCTAAACTATTTTCACACAGTTTAATGTTTGATTCTTAGCAGTAAAATCGAATGTAGATAGAATAGAATTGTTCAGGTGTTTGAGGCACAGAGCAGCCACGTGACTTGCCTAGAGTCACACAGCAGCGGGACAGGGTGGAGCTTTCTGTGATGTGGGCATCCTGAGCTGTGTCCAGGGAGGTTCCCACCACCCTCTCTCTCCCTGCACATTGTAGGGGGCCCCTCCTCTTTAGCCTCTCTCCTTGGACAGAAGGTCATAGCTTAAAACAAAAGGGAGTGGCAGGGACCAGCAGTTGGCATAATGGCTATGTCGCTGGACTCCCACATAGTCGACCACGGTTCGCGTCCCATATCTGGTGGCTTAAAACTAATGCTGGATGCATGTGCATGCGTGCCCAAGATCCCGAGAGGAGAATGGAGGAGAAGGGATTGCGGTGTGGCCATCCCCCCTGCGGGGGTGATTTCTCGCTTTCTGTCTCTCTCTGTCTTTCTGGCGAGCTCACGCGCCCTATAGCAAAAACCTCTCCAAAAAAAAAGGGTGGGGGAGTGGGGTGCAAGGAGCTTGTCCTGGCCGAGGTCTCACCAGCTGTGTTCCCTTTCAGCCTGGAGGAAGGCCCAGCTGTACGGGGGTAAGTGACTGAGTCTCCTCTGGCCTTCCCCTACCTGCCGTGGCCCTGCTCTTCTCCCTCAGGGTCTCTGCACTAGGATGGCTCAGGTCCTCGCTGTCCTCCGTCAGAGACTGCAGGGAGCACAGCTCTGCCTCTGCTCGGGGCTCTTTCTCTACTGCAGTCACTGTAGGGTCAGCAACGCTCTCCTAAAACACCTTGTCTAAAACACCTTCTTCAACTGCTACTTCATTTTTAAAACATTTTTGCTATCAGGCTCGTGTACTCACTGGAGACAGAGAGAGAGAAGGAAAGTGAGAAAGCTCAGGACTTGAACTGCAGCTGGCCATTTGGGAGTACAGGATGTAACCACAATGCCATCTGCCGGGGCCTCTGGGTATTAAGGTTTTTGGGTTAGCCTTCATGGGAAGACCGAAGCATGGTGTAGTGTGTGTCCTTGTGTGGAGGTGTGTGTGCACATAATAATACATTAGCTGTGTGCTCACACTTCTCCCTGTAACTTCTGTATATCTTGCCTAGTTAAGAGGCAATGCAGGGGCCAGCAGGGGCCATGGTGGTTAAAGTCCTGGGTTCCCACAGGGTTGACCATTGTTCGAGTCCTGAACCTGGGGGGCTTGATGATCTTTCTGGGTGCGCGTTTATGCATCTACAGAAGGAGAATGGAGGAGAAGGGATTTCAGCTTGGCCATCCCCCTGGGAGGTGATTTCTCACTTTTACTCTCACTGTCTCTCTAACGTGAATGCACAGCCCTAGGGTAAAAACCTTAAAAAAAAAAAAAAAAAAAAAAAAAAAAAAAAATGGGAGGTTGT